TCCGTATTTCCCCTTGTATTTTAATGGAGAGCCTATCTGGGTAGAGCAGCCTTGGCTGTAGGCCCTTGCTTTTCATGGCTTGGAATATTTGTTGCCATTCCCTTCTGGCTTGTAGTGTTTCTGTTGAGAAGTCAGCTCCTAGGCATATCGGGGCCCCCTTGTATGTTACTTTCTCCTTCTCCCTTGCTGCCTTGAGGATTCTCTCTTTGTCTTTGACATTTGCCATTTTAATGATGATGTGTCTTGGAGTGGACCTCTTTGAGTCCCTCTTGAGTGGGGTCCTCTGTGCCTCCTGGATCCATGAGAGCCTTTCTCTCCTCACATTAGAGAATTTTCCATCATTACTTTTGGGGGGAGGTTCTCTATTCCTTGCTTCTCTTCTTCTTCTTCTGGTATCCCTATTATACAGATATTATTGCGTTTCAGGTTGTCCTGCATTTCCCTCAATGCCTCTTCATTCTTTTTGAGTCTTTTTTCCATTTCTTGTTCTTTCTGGGAGCTTTTTTCTACCTTGTCCTCCATCTCACTGATTCGATCCTCAGCTTCATCCAGCCTGCTTTGGATTCCTTCTACTGTGTTCTTCAATTCAGAAATGGTATTCTTCATATCCTCTTGTGCCTTCTTGATAGTTTCTATGTCCTTTTCCAGGCTGATATAGTTTGCTGTAAGATCCTGGTAGTTTCTCTGCAGTTTCTCATAGTTATCTTTGAGCTGGCTGAGCTCATTGAGCTCCCTTAGAACCATTGTTTTGAATTCAGTATCTGATAGTTCCCTTGCCACTATTTCATTTATCTCTCTCTGTGGGGAGTCCCCTTTTCCTCTCATTTTGGGGGAACTTCTTTTTCTTCCCATTTTTGTGAGAATCTGTTCAGTATTTTTGTCCTTTACTTTTCTTTCTGGGCCTGCCTCTGATGATGTCAGTTGTTGACCCTATAGGACCTTCAGTTGTTTGAGTCTTCCAGGAGTATAATGTCTGTGTTTGACTCCTGCTTGGAGCAGCTCTGTGACCCCTTTGGTCAGGGCTGGGCTATTTTTTGGGATCTCTCTGCACTCTCACGCGGGCTTCTTGAGCGCACTCCCAGCGCGGCAGGATCCCCTGCCTGCCTGGGGTTGCATGTGCTTGCCCCAGACCAGGGTGCTTATTTGCGACCTCGCGTACTCATCTGGCCCCCCTGGCTGGTGAGCTCCGCAGCACTGGTCAGTTTAAGGTCTTCTATTGTGTATTTTCCCCGCTTTTGGCTTTTGTGGTGCGTTGTTTGCCCTCGCCAAATGGGGACTACGGAAATGGGAGGAAGTCAGCTCCAGGACTCTTGGGTTAATCCCGTCTCTGGTCTCTCCTCCAGGGACTCTCTCAAGTGTGAATTTCTACACCACCCATCTATTTGTTTTTAGGGACACCATGATCACCTAGGTAGTGTCATAGGTCTCTGCCAGTAAAACTATTTCGATTACTGCTTAGAACCTGATGTCGACCATGGTAATTGGGCACACCTTGTCTTTGACAATTATCCTGCTACCCTGGTATCCAATTTTTCTAATTGCATTTAAAAATCCCAGTTCAGTGGCAACAGTCCCTACTGTAATTCCTGACCTACCGTGAAGAGTGACCACAGGAGCTCTTCAAGGATATTGGGACTCCCCTCACAAATTTCTGTCATGGTGAAAAGTATGTCTTTTATACCCTCCCAGAGTGAGTGAGAAGGTTTTACATGATAAATCTACTGTATCACTTCAAGATCTATAAGCCTTTAGATAACTTCTGTTAGAGTATATTAAGTCAGGTCTGGCATTTCAACTTCATTTAGTGTAGGCCAACTTTTGGAAAGTATTTCAGCCAACCAACCAACCAACCAACCAACCAACAAAATAAACCATTTAGGTTCTTTCTAACCCCTTGAGTTACAACATTGAATCCAGAATCTCTGGTTGGTTGGTTCATATCAATAAATTCAGCCTGATCCTATTTAAGTTACCTTCCACCATTATTCCACACCCTTAAAATACATTTCCACATGTATTTCCAGAATTATGTCTGTACAAATTGAAAAAAAATGTAATGCAGTTCTTTTAGAGTATAGTTCACCTCTTCAGGAGTCAAATTTTGTATCTCACCTTTTGGGAATTGCTGGGGCTTGGGTTTTGCTATAGTTCTGGAAGCAAAGAGAGGTGCCTGTTGTGAGACTGGAGAATAATCAGCAGTGTCTTGCAAAGCCACTACTTCAGAGGAGGCCATTACAGGTTCCTCAGGCAAAGCAGAGTGAAGTCCTCAGATGGGGGTAAAAGGGTTGCTTCTACTAGCAAAGGAAACTTCCAGAATTTAATTTAAGTTCAATGTCCCCAGCTTTGTCAGGGTCTGCCCATATGTCACCATCCTAATTTTTAGAATTTTTTCTTTTTTCCTAATCCATGCCCTTATTTTAATAGCAGAGGTTCCCTGTGAAGCTGGAAATTCAACCATTTGTAGGATGAGATTCTGGATTTGTTTTCAGGAGTCTCAGCCCTGTGGTGGTAGGAAACAAGTAATTCTTTCAGGGCAAACATACAAATTTTCCAGTCAATTATATGGTGCTTAAACTGGAACTTTGAAGTCTCAAGTTCATCCTTTTCTTTCCTTACTTAAGAGTAACAAGCTAATCTCATTATACTCATTAGTTTAACAAAAATGTTCTGGGATACCAAATGTCCACTCAAAATCTTCTTCCTGTAAATATTTGATTAGGAGTATCCACTATTGAAATTTTGGGCATTCCTAATGACATGGACATTGGTGCCCACTTTGTCACTGAAAATAAAATCATTATTGCCTCAAATCTAATCAGATTAGAGAACCAATTGCAGAGACCACAGAACCAATTCAGAAAATTCATCCATAAGGTTCTCTTCCTTTGGAACCACTCTTGGTATCAAAATCTTTACCATTCACAGTTCTCCAAAGATACAGAACAAGGATACACATGTACACACACACACACACACACACACACACACACACACACCATGTATACATATAGACTTATTTCAGGGAATTGACTTATGTGATTGTGGGGGCTTGCAGGTCTGTAATTTATAGAGCAGGCTGGCAGGCTGGAAACACAGGCGAGATTTCTGTATTACAGTCTTAAGGCAGAATTCCTTCTTTACCCAGGGAAACTTCAGTCTTTGCTCTTAAAGCTTTTAATTAAATGCATGAGGCACTTCCACATTATTGAGTATAATTTCTTTTAATTAAGTGACTGTAAATATTAATCACATCCACAAAATAATGTTATGTAAACAACTAGACCAGGGTTAGAGCAAATGGGCACTATAGCCTACCCAAGTTGACATATAAAATTAACCATCACATATTAATATATGTTGTTAGAAATGAGGACAGCAATTGTCCTTGGGACAGAGGTATAATAACCAAAAGGGGCACAAGGAGAGCTTCTGGGGTGCTGGTCAGGTTCTGTTTCTTGATCCAATGATGGTTACATGGATATATTGTTTGTGAAAATTCAATGAGCTGTATATTTATGACATGTGTAGATTTTGAAATGTATATTTTACCTAATTAAAAAGAGTAAAATGTTAGGAAAAAAGGAGATAAAAAACAGTGGGAACAAAAAAAAATTACATCAATTATGAAGAAAATATTTTTAATTGTTAGAAATTACCATATATAACTCTGTGTTGATAAAGTAAACATATTGGTGAAATAGATTTTTAAAAGAAAATATAAATATAATCACACATAATAAAACCTATATCAATAAAGAAATAAAGCATGCCTATGGTGATCTTTACATGTTAGTACACTAGCAGGAGAAAGACTAAATAAACTACATTTTGATAATATTTTGCAATGCATCTGTTAAAAAGAATGAACTAGACCCATGTAGAAAGATCTCCAAGACATACTGGATATTTTTTTAAAGAACAAAAATTGGTATAGTATTCATAAATTTATTTTATTTTGCAAACTTATTTTTTAAAAACCCAAACTTTATGATTCTAGATATACACAAATGTTTTGTATCCTGTAAATCTATAGAAACATGTAGGAGTGTACACTAACAATTGTATTCTTTGAGCAGGAAGATTAGATTGTGTGGTAAAAGGGAACTTTAACTTTTTACTCTCTATATGCCTGTATTTTAAAAACACTTCTTAAACAATCTTATAATAATTATGTAATTTTAAGAAATGATCAAAAAATTAGGATACAAGTCACAGACTGGGAGAAAGCAGTTCATAAAGACATTTGATAAAGGACTATATCCAAAATATGCAATGAACTCTTAAAACTCAACAATGAAAACAAATAACCGGATTAAAAAATAGGAAAAAGAGGTACAGATGACAAATAAGTATATGAAAGACTTTCCACATATGTTCTCAGGGAAATGCAAATTGAAAAATGAGATTCGACTATGTAACTATTAGAATTGCTAAAATCCAGAACACTGACAACACCAAATGGTAGTGAGAATATGGAGCAATAGGAACTCTTATTCGTGGGTGGTGGAACTGCAATGGTACAGCCACTTTTGAACAGTTTCGTGATTTCCTACAAAACTAATATGCTCTTAGCCAATGATCCAGCAATTGTGGTCCTTACTATATACCCAAAGGAGCTAAAAATTTATGTCCACAGAAAAACCTGCACATACATATTTATAGCAGCTTTATTCATAATTGCCAAAACTTGGAAGCAACTAAAATGTCAATTCCTGACCAAAGCCAAGTCCATCTTCTTCACTAACTCTGAAAACTCAGCCCCTTAGAGGAAACAAATTGGAACATTGACCAATATTTACTCAACGTGGAGGAGTGGGGATGGTATTTTTCTAACTTTATCATTTTTCTTGATTTCCATACTTCAGCAAACAGTACTTTCCACTTTCATTGTAAAGCCCAACCCCTGAGATCAGCCGCTCCCCACCATTGGTCCCCTTTAGGAGGCCTGGGCGCACTCAACGCGCCCTTCCGGGGCATGATGGGATGAGGGGCGGGGCTCGGGGGCTGGCCGTCCGCACGCTCCCTGCTCGCCGGGCTTGGGGGGTTGCAGCGGGCTGTGGTAGGGGCGCCGCCGTGGCTTCTCCGAGGCGGGTGGGGCAGACTGAGAAGGCTCGGGCCTGGCAGAAGCTATGTTTGTGGCACGCAGCATCGCGGCAGACCACAAGGACCTCATCCATGATGTCTCTTTCGACTTCCACGGGCGGCGGATGGCGACCTGCTCCAGCGACCAGAGCGTCAAGGTGCGCGCGTAGCTTCCGGGCGGGGCCGAGCCCGGAAAGAGGGGAGCGGGCGCGCGCTTGACCCACTGTTTGAGCGGAGGAACCAGCGGGTAGTAACGGGATTAGTTCCGATATTCAGGCGCGCTGTCGGGCAGGTGGCCAGGACCACGAGAGAGGCAGGCACGCTCAGGCCAAATCGTCTGCTCCGCTGTTCTCACCCCTTATTTAGGGGACAAAGGGGCCTCCCTGGGCCGCACGGCTCTGCGCTTGCGCAAAGCCGCCGCGCGTCCTGGCCGCGTGCGCGCTCCCGCCACTGAGGGACACTGAGAGCCCGCGGACTTCCCGCGGAGGGTCGGGTCCTTGTGGGCAGGAACCGGGCATTTTCTTCAGCTTATTTCTCTGTAGAGGTTTGTCGGTCCGCGGAGTTCTGGCTTTACCTCTCCTAAGTTACTACGGTTATTGAGAGGACTGTGCCATGGGGACCTGTGGGGCAGTCAGTTCAGGGTTGTGTGCTCTACTTCTGTGTGCCTCAGGCCTCACCTGGGGAGATTGTTCTCTCCTTGTGTTCAGATAGGAGGCACGTTGTTTCACGATGAAAGAAAAATATAAATCCATTTACATTCAGTTAAGTTCTGTACTTATTATCGGGAAATTGTGTGTGTTTCTTAAAGTTCCTGTAAACCTCTGTATACCTTTCTGATAGGCAGAATAATCGTTAATGCGGGTGATATTTGGGATTTAGCAGGGTCAGAGATGAAAGCTGGAGTGTGAATTATTTGCATTCTCGGCAGTTACAGAGTAACTGAAAATCTGAAGGACGGTATTTTTCCTTGTTTTACATAGTCAAGTTTGATACATGTAATTCCTTCAAATGAGAGTTTTCCTTCTTGAAAAAGGATAGTGCTGCCAAATCCATCGAATAATGAGGTGTAACCTGTAAAAGTTTTGGAATCACTTAAAAATTCATGTTTGTGGTAAACTAACCATTTTAAAGTGTACATTACAGTTCACAGGTGTTAAGCACAACATTCACATTGTGCAACCATTACCACTGTACATCTCCAGAACTTTTTCTTCATCCTAAACAGAAATTCTGTACCTAGCAACTCCCTCTCTCTATCTGCACCCAATCTCTGGTGACCTCTAATATTACTTCTTTGTAAATTTGACTATTCTGTGTACTTTATATAAATGGAATCATCCAATATTTGTTCTTTTGTGTTATCAAGGGATGTTATCAAGGTTCATTCATATTTGTAACATGCACCAGAATTTCATTTTTAAGATTGAATAATATTTTGTTGTATGTATACAGCACATTTTGTTTAACCATTCGTCCAGCTACTTTTTGGCTATTGTGAATATTGCATTAATGTCTATTAACCGAATTGGCAGTACATTATTTTTGTAGCCACTTACTACTGAATCTTTTAGAAGATCTTTCAGTTTGGAGGTTTTGTCTGTTAAATTAGTGTTGCAATGAAGATCTTTAATTTAGCTTTTTATATATTTTGGATAATTTTGTTAGGCTCATTCCAGTAGAGAAATTAGTGAATATTTGAATTACTTCTTATTTGAACATGTAAAATATTTGTTGTTCTTTAAAAGGGTTCAGAGTTTGGTTTTAAATCAGACTACACACCTTCCATCAGTCTGAAATCTCTCTATGTCAAACTAGCTTCAGTTAGCAATACTTCGTTAAATCTAAAAGATTAAAAAAACTTAATTTTGGGAAAGAAAATCAAGTTCTGAGAACAGTTAACATTAGTCTGTAATCTAAAACAAAATGAGAGGTAATGTTTCATACTGCTTTTTACATCCTTCCCATACAGAACCAGGAATGTCATTTTCCTAACTCAGGCAGGCACTGACACTGGTGGACATTGTGCGCAGATATACACACATCTATTTCTATCCCTTTCCAACTCTTTCTCCTTTCCCTGCCCCTGTGCCCCCCAAAAACAAAAATCAGAGCATGCCAAAGGAAAAAGGTTTGTTATAGTATTGATCAAAACCCTTGGAGTCAATGTCTGAGCTTAGAGAATATAGTTTTGCATATGAGCCTATGTTAAGGGAATCTATTGTGTTCTGAAATAAAGAATTTGGGATACTACCACCATTTCCCACTTTAAAATCTTAGAAACAACAAAAAATGTTATTTTGTTTTACTTTCTGGGATGGGGGATGAGAAAATCTACAGATTTTTATTTAGTTAAAGGAAAAAACAACTCTGGCATAGGAGATAGGCAGTTTACATAGCCAGTCAACATCTGAAGTATCATTAATGACAGAGTCGCAGTTAATCCCTGTTGGCCTAGCTGATCCTCACAAAAAAGGAAGTTTATGGCTCTTCAAAGCAAATTCCAGCAGGACAAGATGACCCTAAGCCTTTATTAAAATCCTTAGAAGCAGAGCACTAGACAGTGTGTAATATTTAAAAAAAAAATCTTGTTCTGTTGCAGTTGTCCCAATTTTTCTTCTTTTGCCCTCCTCTGACCACCTCCTCCAGCTCCCACAGACCATTCCCACACTGTTGTCCATGTCCATGGGTCATTCATAGGTGTTCTTTGACTAACCTCTACCTCCTTTTTTTACCATATTATGCCCCTTCCCTCTACCCTCTGGCAGCTGTCAGTCTGTTCCGTCTTAGCACGTCTATGGTTCTGTTTTGCTTGTTAGTTGATTTTGTTCATTAGATCCTTATTATAAGTGAGATCATGTGGTATGTGTCTTCCACTGACTGGCATATTTTACTTAGTGTAATAGTCTCCAGTTCTGTCCATGCTGTAGCAAAGGGTAGGGATTCCTTCTTTCTTTGTGCTGCGTAGTATTCCATTGTGTAAATGTACCACGGTTTTTTAATCCATTCATCTACTGATGGGCACTTAGACTGTTCCCAGCACTTGGCTTTTGTAAGTAGCACTGCTATGAACACAGGGGTGCATAAGTTCTTTTGAATTGGTGTTTCACAATTCTTGGAGTATAATCCCAGCAGTGGAATCACTGAGTCAAAAGACAGTTTCATTTTAAATTTTTTGAGGAAATTCTGTACTGTTTTCCACAGTGGCTGTGCCAGTCTGCATCCTCACCAACAGTGCACTAGGGTTCCCTTTTCTGCACATCTTTGCCAGCACCTGTTGGTTCTTTACTTACTAATGATAGCCATTCTGACAGGTGTGAGGTGATAGTTCATTGTGGTTTTAATTTGCATCTCTGATGGCTAGTGATGTTGAGCATTTTTTCATATGTCTGTGGCCCATCTGTATGTCCTCCTTGGAGAGGTTTCTATTCAGGTCCTTTGCCCATTTTAAAATTGGATTGTTTGTCTTCCTGGTGTTGAGTCGTATGGGTTCTTTATATATTTTGGAGATTAAATCCTTGTCGATGTATCATTTGCAAATACGTTCTTCCATACAGTTGAGTCAGTTCCCTTTTCATTTTGATGATGGTTTCTTTAGCCATGCAGAAGCTTTTTAATTTGATGTAGTCACATTTGCTTATTTTTTCCTTTATTTCCCTTGCCCTAGGAGATATATCGGCAAAAATATTGCTATGTGGAATATCTGAAATTTTACTGCCTTGTTTTCTGCTAGGACTTTTATGGTATCATGAATTAATGTTTAAGTCTTTTATCCATTTTAAGTTTATTGTAGTGTATGGTGTAAGTTGGGGGCCTAGTGTCTTTTTTTTTTTTTTTTGCATGTACCAGTCCAGTTCTCCCAACACCATTTATTGAAGAGCTTATTTTTACTCCATTTTATGCTCTGCCACTTTTGTCAAATACTTTTTTTATTGTTCAAGTATAGCTGTCTCCATTTTCCCCCATGACTGCCCCTTGCCCCACCCATCACCACCTCCCACCTTCTGTCCTACCCCCTTTGGCTTTGTCCATGTGTCCTTCATACATTTTCATTGACGACTCTTTGTCAAATATTAATTGACCATAGGGGCATGGGTTTATTTCTGGGCTCTCTAGTCTGTTCCATTCATGTGTGTGTCTTGATTTTATGCCAGTACCAGTCTGTTTTGATTACAGTGGACATGTAGTATAAGTTTGATATCAGGTATTGTGATCCCTCATACTTTGTTCTTTGTGAAGATTGTTGAGGCTATTGGGGGTCTTTTTGGGTTCCATATACATATTTGAAGTATTTGTTCTAGATCTGTGAAATATGCTATTGGTATTTTAATAGGAATTGTATTGAATCTCTACGTTGCTTTGGGTAGTAGGGACAATTAATGATGTTAATTCTTCCAATCTATGAACATGGTATATGCTTCCATTTTTTTTTGTATCTTCCTCAATTTCTTCAGTGTTCTATAGTTTTCCAAGTAGAGGTCTTTTAGCTCCTTGGTTAAATTTATTCCTAGGCATGTTATTTATTTATTTACTTATGCTATAGTAAATGAGATTTTTTTCCTTAGTTTCTCTTTCTGATAGTTCATTATTGGTGTTCAGAATGTCACCAGTTTCTGAATATTGACTTTCTATCTGGCTCCCTGGCCAAATTTCACTTACTAGGTCGAGTAGTTTTTTGATGGGGCCTATAGGGTTTTCTATGTACACTATTATGTTGTCTGCAAATGACGACAGTTATACGTCCTCTTTTCCAATTTGGATGCCTTTTATTTCTTTTTCTTGTCTTGGCTCTGTGGCTAAGACCTCCAGTACTAGGTTGAATGAGAGTGGTGAAAGCTGACGCCCGTGTCTTATTCCTGAACTTAAGGGGAACATTTTTAGTTTTTGCCCATTTAGTATGATGTTGGCAGTAGGTTTTTCATATGTGGCCTTTATTATGTTGAAGTATGCTCCCTCTATTCCCACTTTGTGGAGTGTTTTTATCATAAATGGGTGCTGGATTTTTTTAAATGCTTTTTCTACATCTATTGATATGATCGCGTGATCTTTGTCTTTCATTTTGTTTATGTGATATATTATGTTTACTGATTTGCAAATATTGTACCATCCTTGCATCCATGGGATGAATCCCACTTGCTCATGATGTATGTCTTTTTGATGC